TGTAATTTTAACCATCACCCCCTTTCTCCTCTACTTGCCTTCATTAGATTAAATTTAAATTCTTTTGCAGAACCTTCTGTGATTAAGGTATTTTTCTCGTGTTTCTGTTTAATGCTCATGATACTTGTTGGATTTGTTTATTTGGACAAGAGAAAAAGACAGCAACAATGGTCAAAGAGGTGTCTCTTCACTCTAAAAATCTGAAGTACAGTACAATGGGGGGTATAGCAATATACGGTGAATATAGTTGTCTGTATCATTGCTGATTGTAGCACATTATTGCAGCTTTACTCTGTTAGTCAAATCGATAACTGTTACCAACAAGCCTGCATTCAGATAAAAATTAGAGAAGAGCTCCCTGCTGGTGTCAGAGCTGCAGAGAATCTGGCTATGGGCATTGATAGCTAGGCTATCATTTTGCCTTGGAGTTTAAAAGAAAGAAAGTCACATTCTCAAATAATAGTTTCATTGTAAGAGATTGTTAAAGCCACTAAATACAAGCTACTAATTGGCAGCTGAAAGTTTATTTTTCTTGGCTGAATTCTAGGGACTTTTTTTCAGCCTCATACCTCTCTGCTTAGCTAAATCGTGTAAGTAATGGATAAATTACTTTTAATTCAATCAAGTAGGTGCCCCTTAGAAGCAGTGACAATATTCAAAAATTCCCTATGTTCCTGTGTTTTAGTTCTGGACTGAAATCTTGCCAGAAACGTGCCTCTTGAACATTTACCCATTTTATAATCCAGATAATAGTTAAGGGATGAAAACTGCAGTGTCCTGGCAGTGCGCATTTACAGACATTGAATCCAAAGGAGTCCAGAGCCAGTAGGTGTAAACTGACCCTGCCAAGGAGAAGTGGTATAATACAGAGCACAAGAGAAATCCACAATTATTTTTTCCACAAATACAGGTATTATATTAAAACATCGAACTGCATACTTCAATAAAGTAATTTTGAAACTGTAATAGAATAGGGCGGTTGGATTAAGGACTGGATTATTGTCTGTGCTGGAAGTCACGACAAGTATTGTACAGGCTCTTTTTGAGTTTGGTCTGGGGGTTCTGCATTTCCAGCTATATATAATCCCCGTCACACTTGCCATCACAACTATATTAGGTGCAATTAAACTGCAAGGCAAGACTATGCAAAGAACATCCTGATTAAATTATAATGTCAGATGATACAAGAAAAAATAAACTCCAAACTGGACACTAAGGGAGCCTCTGATAATATACATAGAAGAAATAAATTATATTGCTTTGAAAATACAACAGGATGTCAACCTGATTAGAGGTTTTGGCAGGACTTTAATGTGTAGCAGTTCTAGACAACTCATTTTAATTGCTTATATTTCTATCTTCTGCTTAAAAAGGAAATATATTTTTCTGAAAGGATACTCGATGGACTACAAAGGCAATTATTATTTTTGAAAGTGGGACTGCAAAGGCAATTATTATTTTTGAAAGTGTATTTGGAAGATGATTATAAGTGCCTACGGAGGCTAGTTGATAATTTGCTATCCCAGGCTCTATTTCAGAGATTTCAGATAAACTCCAAGTTGTTTAGTAGCAAGAATGGAAATTGAAAAAAATTGCATTTGCTCCGTGGCAACATATGTAATAAATTCCAAAGCTGTGCATAAAATGCTTAGATTTTGATTTCCTGCTCCACGTCATTGGATTTTCTCATAAAATCACAGGGGGTAAATATGTTGATTGTTATGTTGATTGTCATGGTCTTCTTGTTTCAATTGTATTTATTAAATACTTTCTCATATAGTAAGTGTTCACATTGCCAAAGAGCCAGAGGTTACTCGTGTAGGCTTTGACATGCTTGAAGGTAACTGCAAACAATAGACTTTGAGGTGAAAGTTGAGATAGTTGTTTTGTTACTGTTTTGTTTTCACTGATTTGTGGGTATGCATTAATACATGTCAATGTCCATAAAGGTGTATGTTAAGTGCTATTCACAAAACAGAGAGACAAAAATGTAGAGATTTTATTTTAGGCACTGTACTGATAGCAAACTGTCAGTTGTATATCTGGTGGTGACAACAATCCCTCATTTTGATACAGTGAATTTGTGGACCAACCGAACTTTTAAAGCGTGCTTATAGTTTCATTTTTAAGAGTATTTTGCCATTTGGATGGCCCATAAGCATTATCAGGGATGTATTGCAACCTAGAGAAATTTCTTATTTCTCAAGAATGGTGTTTTTCTGAAGAATTATTGTTTTCTTTTTCAAGAGTGAAGCTGTATGCAAGTTGCATAGAAGTCATTCTTATTACTATTAACTCACTTTTACCTTTCCTCTCTTGGCTCTGTTACAATTAATTCTTTTCTGATTTCTCACTGATGCTTTGCTTGATAGAGTTTTCTTCTGATTTTTATGTTTTGCCTGATATAGAAAAACAAAGTGCAGCATATGGCATATTGGGAAAACAATGCTTCCTTTGTCATTAGCAAATCATTCCATTTATTTTGAAGTCTTGACATGATGCTATTTCTCCATCACATGTTAAAGCTTTCACAACATTTTTTACCAACAAGATGCCTGTGTCTCTTCTGTACTCCTCAAAACTAGCAAGTTTTTCAGCTTTTATTTGGCTTTCAATCCAATCTTGCAGGTTTTGGTGGTTAAACTTATTTACAGATATGAGTATGTATTCCACCAACTGTCTTCACCAGATGCAGTAGGTATGTTAGGAATTAAGTCAAACTCTACTTTCCTGGGCCATGCTTGCCTAATTACAGTAGAGTATGCTTTAATGAGGGTTCTTCTGAGCTACCTCTGCCTAATATGGCAAACAGCCCAGAGGCAAACTTCAGATCCCAGTGTCAAGAACTGATTCATTGCTTGTCTTCAATTAACAGCTGGGCTTCAGGGCCTGGATAGAAACCCAGAATAAGACTCTCTTTCAGCTCATGTGTTGAATCCAGAGTTGTTGGCCTTTTCCAGTGCAGATGGTATTCAAAGGCCAAATATAATAAATTTATCACATAGAAGATATTGCACGGATTTTGGACAAAGAGGACAGTGTTGATTAAATTAACTGAAAGTCTTTAAATTGTGCATCAAAGAATGGTCATGGAGGATGGAAAGCACTTCATAAGGAAAGAAAAACAGAGTGTACAAGAGTAAAGTCCATATAAAACAGATCTTTTTGTTTGAGAGTAAAAAGAGTGTGGTCACTGGTTATATAAATGAACCTTGCCATCTTTCTTTTAATTGTTTGAACTTGTGAGAGTTAATGCCAAACCTTTGTTTGTGTCCCCCTTCTTTCTCATCTAATGTTATATGCTTTCCAAAAGACCAAAGAAGAAAAATTGTCATAGCATATAAAATATAATTACCAATGATAATACTGGAAAAAAATGCAGTTTCTGCTCCTAGAAACTCTGTTGCTCATCCCAAATAATATTCATGCCTCAGGAAAGAAGGAGGGAAAACACAGCAGGAAACCTTCCTTTGTCAACCTGCTTTCTTTAATCAAAAAAATCATCGTTCTTGGCTAGCTCTCAAGGCAAATGTCATGGCATCCCATAATACCGGCTGCAGGAACAGGCTCATATTCCACTGGTACATGCTGTTACACAGCCTGACCTAAATACAATGAAGAACTGGAACAGTGACATGGTTGTGAGTTGGGAGATTTTGTTTGAGACTTTCCTCAGATATTGTAGTCCACTTTTTTGGAAGAAATCTAAGTCGTAGTGCAGAATAATACATTTTTGCTTCTATCTATTTGGAGGGATAACAGCCAGTTTGAAACTTCTTTTGGAAGACTTTTGTTCCCTGCCATCTGTAGATGTTTGATTGTGTAATGTATGAAAGAGTGTTATGTTTAGCATCTTTCAGTCTTTCTTTGATACTACTGGTTCAAACATATATGTTCTCTTTCATTAAATAGCTAAAGTTCAAGTGGTTTAAATCTTATTTTTTCAAACTACAGAACAGCATTACTCACATACCAGAAGGCTAAGTAATGTCTGGGATTTATTAAATCATTCAGCAAAGTTGACCACAGACAGTTGCATATAGAACAAGTACTGGAAGAAAAATAATCTATGATGATGTTCATTATACTATAACACAGACAGACTGAGAACCAAATACTTGGTATCATTTCTGTCTCTGCAATTATTATATTTCTTTTTAAACCTTTAACTAGCTTGACAGTTTTGGTTATAGAGGGTTTGAGAGGAAATACGTAGGTAAGTTTAATTTGAAATCTTGGTAAAGCAACTATGGGCTATAAAAAGATAAATATTTATTGATGACTTAAATGAATAGGTAACTTTTACTGCCAAGTTACTGTTGTTGTACACTTGTAGAAATCTTACATTCCAAGTGTATTTGCAAAATTCTATTACAGCTTTATTTGGCAAAAAGAACATTATTGAAGCTGGAATTGGAACTCAGGGGGTTTTTGTGTCTGTTCCTAGTATTCAAAATACTTATGAATCTTTGCCAGTTTTATCAATCTCTCATAGATAAAGTGCTATTGGTGAAACAAGCAAAAATTACAAAATGAATGTTACTGATCAGACAGTGCTAAACTAAAGTGTCAGAAGTAATTGAAAGGTGTTCTTGGGAATTTCAGGTCCTTACCACTGTCTAAACAGTAAACTCATTTTACAATCCCAAATTGAGGATCTAAAAATTGAGCAAAGACAGCAAGAAATAATTATTTCCTGCATAAAACTATATTCTGTAAATTCTGTATTATTAACTGTTATGAGCAAAAGAACATCAAACAAAATAACTATGACAATTCCATAATAAAAGAGAAAAGTCATGCAAATTTATTTGTGCTACAGCATATCCTCTTGGTTTGATTGGGTTTTTTGGTTAATATTGCGTTACAGCCCAGGGAAAATTTTAAACTTTTCTTTACCTTTTTTAATTTGTTATCTGCACATAAAAGGATATTTGTTGTGTGGTTTAAGTGGTTTGTGAGCAGGATTGGATAACATAATTATGTTTTAATTTTTTTAGAAGACTGTGGGACATATTTCCCAGAAGTGAAAAATCATCCAGAGAAATATTTACAGAGATGTCCAGAGTCTGTAAAAAAGTGGCTGAAACAACTGAAAAATGCTGGGAAGATTCTGCTATTAATTACAAGTTCTCACAGTGACTATTGCAGGCTCCTGTGTGAGCATGTTCTTGGGTAAGTGCAAGGTCCCTTTCAAATTATATCTGCCAGACAGCAACTGGAGATAAGCCTGAGCTATTGGGAAGCTAATTGGAGTTTCTTAAAGTATTGTGAATTATTTGGTTCTGAGATTTCTGGTGGGCCCCTCTCTGATAAAGTGTGACAGGGTAGTCGAGACAAAATAGTGCATCTCTGAGCCTGTGAGCTGTATCTGACCCACAGCACATTTATATGCTACATCTTTTTGAGGGCATCACTATGGGATTGAATATGTCAGGCCAACACGCAGTACATCATCTGAATCCCAGTTTTATCATAAACTTTTGCTAGACTGTCTTATTTAAGCCACTTCCTTTCTGTGCTTCTCCAGCAGTAAGTGCAGCTAGTAGTACTATTTCATTTCCTTGTAGCAAATCTGCAGGAAAAGCTTACAAATACTTCTTCTATTGGTGCATGAGAAATGTGCATTTACAGATCACAGTAGAAAAAATAAAACAGGCAGTTCTTTGCACTTGGCAACTAGTTGAAATTGTAGTTGCTGATCACAACAGCTGTTTTTAGTGTAAGATAAAGAACATGACTGGTCAAGTTAAATTCAGTGAAATTCAATAGAACCATCACTTACACACCTAGAAAAAAATTAATCAGTGATGCAAATAGTTAGAAGAAGAAACAAAGTATTTCAATGTGAGCCAACATTGGCTAACACAGGATATGCCAGGGATCAGCAGAGTGAATATGGCAACACAGTAAGAAAACAGGTGGTAAGGTAAAAAACAGAGCTATCCTCCAAAACCAGTCCTGCCAGTATCACTTCCCTTTTGTACTCTCTAGGCTAAATGCTAAATGAAGCATTTGCTGTGCCAGTTCTCACTACCTCACATGAACATTATACTTACTCATTTGAAGGGTAAATCTACCTCCTCACAAAAAGCAGTTCTCCTTATGAGTAAGATACCTGTGAATTAACTCTTTTGTGTTGACCAGTCTAGCTGTTTTCTAAATGAAAATTCGGTATAAAAGTAACTTCTTGGCCTCATATACTGATTTTGACTTTCTTTTCCATGGTGAATAGTGTTTCAGCTGTTTCAGGCAGCTGTAGAAATCCTACTGGAACACAGTAAGTAAGGTATCAGAGCCGATCAATTGCCTTTCAAAAGACAGAAAGAGATGTTCTGCTAGAAGGATATTGCATCACTCTGTCTTTCCACATAAGTGTAGGATGTTCTGTGGTTTTTATTACAATCGTGTTTTCCAGTGACTCATGCAGCGTGGCTTCCAAGTGTTTTCTGGAGTACTCCACTGTCCATTAGACATTACTGGAGTTTTTTCCTAAAAATCTAAGCTTTTATTAGTTTTGTTTGTTCCATGCCTCTTGTATCGGACAAAAAGACTCTACTTACCTGTGCTGCTTTTTGCTGTACTGGAATATATTTTAGGTTCACACCTATTATCTCTGTCCTTAACTTTAATTTGACCAGGCTAACTGCATTTTATTCTTTACATCAGCCCTTACTAATTGCATCTACATAGACCTCTGTTAGTTTCTATCCCTAGTTCTTTCAGTTAATCAGTGTGATACTGAGAAGTCCAAAACTGTATAGTAATAAATAAAAAAACCCTAATGATATACAGAGATGCATGTAAAATTTTAGCCGCCTACTCCTAATATCCTTACCTTGTAGCTGTTTACTTTTTTGCATTTTTTAAGTTCCTTTTTGGCTAAGAAATTATTGTCTTCATAAAATCTGTGCTGGGAAATTCATACTTAAGTGTATCATTTACCTGTTTAATAATCAAAATATCCCAGTTGTGTTCATCTGGCCAAATTGTCCTTAGCTAAAAGACATTTTGGTAGGCAGAGGAAGTGTAAGAGAAAATTTCATTTTGAAATAAAATTAGAACTGTTTTCCAGCCAGAGCACACATGTACTGCTGGGACCAGTGTATAAGGCATGTAAACCTACAGAAGCAAGTACCAGTTCGTTCACACAGGGAGTGTCACGGTGTGACTTTTCAGTCTTACCTGTCATGAGAATGCTTGTCCACTTAACTGAATGTTTAAGTGTTGGCAGGAGCACACCTAAAGACAAGTCAATCATCACATAGTCACTGAAGTCAGGAGTCATTTCACCTTTTCAGGAATGTTAGCCATCTAAAAGCTGAAAATTTTTTGAAGCTGGTCATTTAGTTTCCCTCTGTGGTTACTGGAGAGAAAACACTGGGCATATCCTTGGCAATTCATTCTATATTGTAGAATTATGTCTGAAACGAATGGGATGAATTACCTTCTAAGAATGTGACTGTTTCTCCATTGGCTCTGCCTGTGGTGTCAATCCCTATCTGTGAATTCAGTGTGCAATTTTTAGATCGTTAAAGTTATGTGAGATACATCCTACCCTTTGTCTTAGCTGTGTATTGTAACCACAGGCCACTCTACGAGGTAGTAACTGGAACAGATTTGATTTATGTGTATTGTTACATGGTAATGTAACACGTCTCTCATAAAACTAGTAGCTTTGTACATGGGATTTAATATGTTTCAAAAAAGGCCACAGATAACACATCTCGTCACACAAAACATACAAACATGTTTTTCTACAACAGAGCAATAAAAAGTTAAGAAATCTTTTGAAAACTCTGTTTGTTCTGTTTCAATTTTTTTTATACAAAGCACTTGCCACTGTTCCCAGAAATCATAGAGTCATAGAGTCATTTAAGTTGGAAAAGACCTGTAAGATCTTTGAGTTCAAGTGTTAACCAAGCACTTCTGTGTTCACAGCTAAGCCGTATCACCAAGTGGCACATCCACACATTATCTGAACACTTCCAGGGACGGTGGTTCCATCACTTCCATGGGCAGCCTGTTCCAATGTCTGACCACCCTTTCTGTGAAGAAATTTTTCCTAATATCTTATCTAAACCTCCTCTGATGCAACTTGAGGCTATTTCCTCTCGTCTTCTCACTTGCTACTTGTTCTCCATTGTGCTCCTGAAGTGCTTACTTTATTTTACAAATTCAAGCTTAATGTCCCTATGGAAGCATTATTTGCACTGTAGGATAGTTTGAAAAGTTTATCTCCATCTATACTTTTCACCTAAGGACAGAAGAGCCATGCCTGTTCACTCAGCTTCTGGAATTTTCCATGCAGAAGCACATTTTTAAAACACAACATTATCATATTTGATGTTGCTTCTTTCAAAAAGGTAAAGGTTTGCATATGGTCACAAATGTAGAAAAACAGACAAAGCTAAAATTTAATTAGAGGAAGGAAATTTAAAGGACTTTTATTTTAAGGGTGGAATGTAATTTTGAGCACAAAACAAAAGTTTGAAGATAAGCTCATAGGGAGAGCATTCAGTTTTTGAGTTAAGATATCTCAGTCCCATGTAGGACTGTGGATTTTTTGAAAGTGACACAGTTATAGTTTACTTCTAGCAAACTTCCTCTGCTGCTGATAGCATGTGTGGCAGGTTGACCTTGACTGGAAGCCGGGTGCCCACCCTACCACTCTCTCACTCCCCTTCCCAGCCAGAGGAGAGAGTAAGGTGGAAAACAACTTGTGGGTTGGCATAAGGCAGTTTATTTAAAGCAAAAGTGAAGGATAACACGGTTATTCTCTACTTCCCATGAGCAGCGATGGTTGGCCACTCCCGAGCAGCAGGGCTTCAGCACGGGTAACAGTTCCTCAGCAGGCAGCCATTGGAGACAATTAATACCCCCCTTCCTGCTTCTTGCCTTAGCTTCAATATCTGAGCTGATGTCACGTGATCTGGAATACCCCTTTGGTTAGTTTGGGTCAGCTGGCCTACTTGTGTCCCCTCCCAGGATCTTTCCCTCTATTGAGGAAGGAATGTTACCGTGCTGATGCTGTGCTCAGCAGTAGCCAAAACAGTGGTGTGTTATTAATGCCCTTCCAGCTACCAATGCAAAGCACAGAACTGTGAGGGCTACTATGAGGAAATGAACTCCAGCTCAGCCAGACCCAATAGAGCATGTCAGTGCCTGTGGCCATCCTCAACTTGCCATCTGTGATTTCTTTTTTCCATGCAAGAGTATCCATCATTTTTGTATGTTATAGGCAATAAAGTCACCTAAGCAATGAAACAATTCTAATAAAATAAAATACATCGTAGAGGAGGGATGTTTACATTCTCTTACATACCATGCTGAAGCATTCAATCCCGTTTAAATTGATGGGATTTCCACATTTCAAATACCAATTTGTTTATAGGGATCTAATGAGCTTTGAAAAACCTGAATTTAGTAGTGTGATTCAACTGGCAGATTAAGACTCAAAGTTGGTAGGTGTTTATTTGTAACACCTAACACATCTAACCTCCCTGTAACCAGCAGGGATTTAGTGAGAGCAACCAGTGGAGTCTGAAGAAGGAGTTCAGCTATCAAAATGGCATTTCAACTTTAGGGTATGTGAAACCATACTTCATTGACTTCATTGACTTGGTTAATTAGATCTCTGTTGTCTGCCAGTGGCATCTTAGATACCCATTAGACCTGTGCATACCTACATTATGGATACCAACCATATAAGCACCTGTGTTTAAGTGACTTCAGTTGCATCCTATCCCATCACTTCACTTCATATATTCTTCTTTGTGAAGAAAGTCCCTCATTTATATCTTTCTGTGTATATCTATGCATATGTTGCCATCTGAAATTAAGATATGTCATCTATTACATGTTCTCCTGAGATCGAGGAACGTCTTTTTACTAATAATGAGTGATCTCAAAGATACAGCACTGTAGGTTTTGACAGCCTCAGGAAAAGGAGGGCAATAGTGACATGCAACAAGTATTGGGGAAAAAAATGTGATAGAAGCAAGTGCCTTAAAGAAGTGCTTTGATATTTTCTTAGGTCTTAAAAAGTATTTAGTAGTTAGCTAATTCATTAGTTTAACTAATCAAATTTCCTTTACTTTCTAGGAATGATTTTGAAGAGTATTTTGACATTTTGATCACAAATGCTTTGAAACCTGGTTTCTTCTCCCATACGCCAAACCAAAGACCTTTCCGAACTCTTGGTAAGTTCAGCCGTGACCCTCTTCTCATCTGCTTACCTTTATGAAGAAAAAAAAAGAAAAGAGAAATAAGGCAACGGAACAGCTGACATGGGGGTGAAAAGTGAACTCTACACTCTTAGCATTCTGTTAAGACTGAAGAGCACTGAGAAATTAAGAATTACAGTGCTGAACACATATAAAAGGCAGTGCTGTGACAGTCATTAAAATTACATTGGTGCTCAGATATTGCATATTTATGAAAAAGAATCCTTTTCTTTATTGTGATGACAAGGTCATGCACCTAAAATTAAATTTTGTTCTCAGAAAAAATATAGCAGAAATATTTAAAGAATTTAAAGGAAATTCAGAGAATGGTACAAATAAAATTACAAAACTGAAGGAAAGGATTTATGATGGAAATCCGACAGTATTAAATGTGTTTTCTTTGGCTAAATAATGACAGAGTAGGTGAAAAGGGAGTACCCCTATACTCAATTTAATTAAAACAATCTGACAAATTTGGTAATGTTGTCCATTAGGTAATTACGGTTGTAACATAAGAGTTTTATAAGAACAGTGTTTGTTGAACTACAAATAACAATAGTAATGTGGCTGAAGATAGTTAATTTTTCCGTATTTTGGTAAATACCTCTATGATTAAGTGTTACCTGAAAATTAACCTTATATCCAAAATAGCATGAGGCAGCATATATTGAACCATATTTTATCATTTTATGACAGGAAAGTCGGCATTCCAGCCCAAAAGAAATTCTCTTTGTGGAACTTTTACAGTAAAACTAAAACAAGCTGCAGAAATATATACTGAAACTACATTTTAATGTTTCGCATATTTATATAGGAAAATAAGTAAGAAATATCTTAAGTGTGATTTTTAAAGAGTTAGTTCAAATCATTGCCAAGCTGACAATCTGAGAAAAAATAATCTCAGAAGGGAAATTGAAACTATTCATATGAAAGGAGGCAGGGGAGTAAAATCATAAAGAGTGAAAAAGAGTCAGTTCTGCAACCATTTTATTTAGTTTCATACAATGCAAATTGAAAATTAAATGTAGTTCATTTTTTATTATTTTAAACAGTCTGATAAGCCTGACTTCCTGAGGAAATCCTGCTGTGTCCCTCTGTCAGTAATCCAGCCAGCAACTTTTAAACCCGTTGGCTAGTTTCAATAAATTTAATAGACAGTAAAAAAGCTCCAAAATACATTTGGGTTTTTCATGCAAATAAGGGCAGAATAGAAGAAGGAGACGAAGTTACTGTCTCCATTTTGTGTAGCATTGGCTTAATCACTATATTAAATTTTAAGGACCAATTTTGATGAAGCTGTCTCTTTCTCATGCTTTTAAACAGGAATAGCATTCTCTGGACTCCTCCTATTAACTTAGTGCTTTTCACTCACTTTGTATCTTGGCACTGCAAAGAGGCTCACATAGCACTTGATCACTCGTTACATGAATACCTTAGAAATGCAAAATAAAATGTAGTTCTGGACACTTCACTATCTAAACAGATAAGGGACACAAACATAACTAAAGCAATCATCAGATAAATAATTTGTTGAAACAACTAGCCTCAGAGTGGATATTTTTTAATATAATTATATTCAATTGACAGTAAGTAGTTTCTTCTGAAAGACCAACCAGAACATTCAAAGCAAAGAATTATGCACATAGGACAGGCTTTTAGAGACATGATTTGAAGTAGTGAAGAACTTATTTAAGAGTCTGTGAAGTTTAAACCACAAAAATAGGAGTATTTATATGAGAAAATGCATGGAATAATGTATACAACCATATAACTTCAGAGTAGTCACTGATAGTTTCACTCAGTCACCCCAGATAGCTAGGAACACATTTGATTTCTGAAACAGGATACAGTGAAGCTTCTAATACATTGAGGGGGAGCAGTTTTCCAGTTTCCAGAATTTTTTTAAGGCTTTCTTTCATATCAGAACCACTGAAAATTCAGAATTTCAGTTTCTAGTTTCTATCCTCCTTTTGCCAATATAGATTTACAGCAGAAGAGTTTGGCCACTGTGCTTCACATCAGGGAGAGAAAATTTCATTATTTTTACTTTGAATAAGGAAAGATCTAGAGGTGAACATCATAGTAAATATTTTCTTTAAGCACAAGCTTTTGCTAGTATAATTTAGGGGGTAAAAAGCTTCAGTAGGTGAAAGAAAGCTTGTTCCATGAAGAAGTGTGTTGCAGAAAGTGAACTGAAGTAACTGCTTATCATTGCTATCCATTTCTCCAAGTCTGAGTTTCAGCCATGTTCTTCAATTCATCGGTAGTTCTGAGCTGCAGTAAATTTCTAATGATACTGTAATTCCTTCTGTTCCAAGGGAATTGTGTTATAAATGGGCTTAAGGATAAGGCACAAAATATGGCATGTGTTCTTAATTTCAAACACCCCAAGTGTTGCATTGTGTACTGGAGTTAAATGTTATTTATCTGTAACAGGAATTCTGTTGCATATTTACTAAAGGAAAGGTTTTGAACAGTACTAAACAGACATATAAATTCTTTTCAGTAAATGAGTTCAAAAGGCAGCTGTGTTCAGTAAACATTTGAAGGAGAACAAGAAACAGGACAAGATGACAAAGGAGGCATTGTCTGTAAATGTGATATCGGGTAACTGCTCTGCAGAAGTGTTTTTTTAGTAGACAACTAATTTTAGAGCTAATCCATTTAGAAACCATGAAAAATTATTTTAATTGCTCAATTAAAATTGCATCACTACTTCATTTGAATTTCAAGATGTGCATCATTTAAAGCAACCAAAACACTCTTTGAAATCCTGAAAGATTTGTATGACTGCTTTTTATTGAACTGGGACACTGAAAAGCACAATATTTAATTATTTAATTTTTCATTATTGTCTTTCAAAGTGCTATTCTGTTAAGTAAAGGAGCAGTTTATGTGTATCTTTACAGATTTTAGAACAGCTGCACTTATTTTTATCTGGAAAAACCATTTTTATAATTAGGGGGAACTTATGTAGCAAAGCACATAATTTGTGAGAACAGTGCTATACATAAAAAAAACCCAGACTTACTACCATAATACAAATATCCCATAATTTACTTGTTATTCACAAGGTTATATTTTCTTTTACACAGGAAAATCCTTCACATGGTTCTTGAAAGTACTAATAATATCTTGAGCTACAGGATCTAAGGATCAAGTTGAAAATGTTTGTGTAAATCCTTTGTTGACAATGAAGGATTTTCTTTGCTTTCAACAGCTACATCCAGCTTAATTTATCATTCCATGATAAATGTAAGGACTTGAAGGAATATAAACAGAAAATGCAGTTGTGACTTATATGATAATCTGCAACACATGAAGATTTCTGTAAAATTTTACAACAGAGTTTTCCCTTTAACACATCACTTGTTAATGTATATCAAATTACTAGCGTGACTGGCAGCTCTGATCATTGTCAAATACATTTTTTTACAATCCAAAATAACAATTGAAATGCTAAAGATAACCTTTAATTCCCTCAAAGCCTCCTATAAATCTGTATGCGCAGGGAATTCTGCTTGATCTTTAATAAGACTTATATATATTTTATTTCCAACTCGGGCGCAGTTACTGTCTTTTCTGATTTTTTTTTTTTTTAATAAATTGAAAATGTGTTGCAGATTGTTTCAGTTTCTGAATTTACAACACATATTTAAAAATGTGTGTATATCCTCATGTATACGTGTGTATATATGTACAGACTGAAAACAATCCTTTAGATGGAATGTCAGTGGATGCTACATTTCTGTGAGATTGTGGTGCCTTTATCCTATGCCCAGAGAAACAAACCCACTCGCCTTCTCCTGCAGAGAGTCTCAGGTTTTCAAAGCCTACTTTCAGTTGCATTCCCAGGCTGTCTGCCTTATTCCTGAACTCGAATTTCTGTCCAGCTTATGGTGCCTCTGCTGCATCATGTAGCTTTCAATTTAAGAAACTCTTTCAGTCCTCCAATTTTGTATGATTTTCTGGTAACTGACGTTTCTGGCATTTAAAAATTCTCTGCAGAAGCTTTTTACCTCCTTCAGTCATTCTTCTCTAGCCTTCCAAGAATACAGGAAAATTCTATAAGCTGAAAGGACCAATTAGAAAAGAAAATAAGGAGACAGGATATAAAACAATATACTTGTAGACTGAAGACCATCTTTGATTACTAGGGATTGCAAGACTTCAGAAGTTGGTGATCCCATGTCTGTCCTCTTTGAGTTTTCTTCTGTCATCTTTTGTGACATCTGGGCTTGACTACTGCCGAGATGGGCTGCAGAACTGAGTGGAGAATGAGAGCTGATCCTATATAACTATTTTTTTTAATTTATATTCTAAAGCTTTTTAGGCCTGAGGAGTGGTATCAGGAAGGCAGTGCCTTCCTTCATATAGGCACTGTGTAAGGCATATAACTTCTTTCTAGATCATTCTTTTTATTTGAGATTTCTGTCTTTACCACCAGAAGAATACCAAAATACTACCCAGTTTTATATTTTATAATAATATTTTATTTTTATATTTTATAAGACCTTTAGTAAAACTGTAGAATATATATTAAAAATGTGGAAATTTTGAAACAGATTGTATTACACTATTATATATATAATTTAAATAGTCTTGCCTTATTCACTCAATTGAAGAACATAAATGCCACTCTAGAAAATTCTGATTAAATTTTTGACCAAAACACATTGAATTCAATCTACAGTATAATCACTATAACTGCTGTATACTAGGTATTTCAGTTACTACCTCTCCCAGTGAAGGCTGCCTTGATAAGAAAAGAATTATTTTTTTTTACATCAAACTGTGAGGTTAAAACATGAAAGCATAGCTACTCTTTTGGGCTATGTTAATTGTTCCCATCATGTCTTCTAACCAATCTTACCTTGCATTATATCATCAGATCTTCATATTTAAATGTAGATTCAAATTTAAATTTAAAATAGTTTTAGATTTATCCTTTAGCTCATGACAGCACAATTGTTGGT